TACAATATCAGGATCTCAAACCGCCATCGGTTCATCCGCGTAAGTACTATATATCCCTTGAGATTCACTAACTAACTAACTCATTCTCTGTCAAATCTGCAGTAGCTTTGGCCGACCCACAACGGTGGAGGAACACCACACGGCCATCGGCTGCAATCACAAAGATCTCCACTTAATTCTCAAAGAATTGCAATTTATTACGGCGCGCATGCGCAAAGCTGACGACGAAGCGGAATTGATAAGCGATTGGAAGTTCGCTGCAATGGTTGTGGATAGGTGAGTGCACACTCCACATAAACACTTTCACAATTGTCTGACTAACCCAAACTACATATTCGTGGAATGCAAAATCAATCTTGTGGTGTTATATTCTGTTATGAACTATTATGTCCATTCAAGTTGTATTCAGAGAGTGCTGGATATCTCCCTGTTCTATTCCACTCGCCAACCGACTTCTTTGATTAGCCACATCATTATGTGCATCCAAATATTCACACTCCCGAGTAGATTTATTGAACCGAAGCCAGCATGCTTCGGTGGCCGCTTTCCAAGTCAAACAATTAGGCTTGGCAAACGCTTTGGCTACCACACAACTTCCGGCGGAACGCCTTGCCAGGCACAAAGCCCACACCTACATGCCCACGCACACACACGCACACACAGAGAGAGAGCACGTGGCTCAAATATTGAAAGATGGCCGACACCAGGACCGCCGCCATTTTGTTTCGTGGCGCTGATTTGCTTGCTCTTCTACTTCACAGATTTTGTTTAATTGTTTTCACGCTCTTCACGATTATTGCAACGGTAACCGTGCTGCTCTCAGCTCCGCACATAATCGTGCAATAAGGACGCTCAATTTAGGCAATTAAGCTACGGATACGGATACGCATACACCTAGCACACCCACACACGTGGGTTAGATACGCCGGAGTGCGGAGTCTGTGTGTTGGGACGGGGGGAGATGTATAGTTAAGTTCTTTTTCAAAAACCAAACAAACCAAAAACTAGCGAAGCTGCTTCCAAACCAAGCAAAAGCAAAGAAACAAATGGAAAACCCAACAAAAAAAATTGTTAATTACATTTTTAAGTCAAAAACAAAACAAAAAAAGAGCAAAGGAAATTTCGCAAAAAAAAAAGAGAAACAAAATCATATACTAAACCAAAATATTTTATGGAGAAACCAAACAAAAAAGCAAAAATTACTGCCGTACAAGAAACCGAATAAATAAGAAAGAAAACAAAAGTGTTAAGTAAGCTACACAGACACGAACAAAATTATAAAAGTTAAGCAAACAAAAGCAAAAGCAAGCCAAAATTTGCATAAGGATAGAGGAGGAGCCAATGGGTGGAGGTGGAGGAGCACACGAAGGATGGGAGGAACAACAAAGTAACATCGCGGTAAAGGAGAAACACAACAGCTACATACACATGTATGTACATATATGTGAGCATACACACAGATGCTCACATGTATAAGTTATAAGTTAATTAACACGTTGAGTTGTTATAATTTATGTAAGATGAACAGACGACAGACACAGACTAGGATACTATATAGAGACACGCCACACCACACCACATAAATGAAAACACATAAGATATATTATATATATATATATATAAGAGATTGTTCCTATGAGACATTAGATATGTATTTAAAATGGCAACACACCCACACTAACACACAAACGCAAAGACAAAGACAGAGACATACAGACACTAAAGCACTTAATTGACAAATGCAAAAACAAGGGAAAGAAATTATTGGTAGGCGTGTGTAGGCAGAAGAAAGTTGAAATATTAACCTGATTAATTATTTATTTCTCTCAGTTTACTTCACTATATTTTTTTTCTCATTGATTTTGATTTTTGGGATCACGTGGACCAACCATATTTTGTTTGTTTTCCTTCATTGAAATTTGCAAACAAAATATGATCCCAATGAAAGAACTTAAGGAGTATTTTTTTCGTTCATTATAAGAATCTTAGATCTTATGTTACCTTTTTTTTTTTGGTGCGGTCTTTGAGAGTGGAGTGAAGAGTGAAAAGTGAAGATTAGCTAAGTGTAACATGGTAACAAACTGACACATAATAATGAATACAAACAAAATATATATACATACATATATATTGAATAGTGAATTGAATTAATTTTTAAAAGGCGCATTAAGAACCCTTTGAGCAGGAGAGTACGAGTATATGTTCGTTGAACGAAATGTTTTTAGAAAATTTATTGTTGAAATATTGTAGCAAATCGAAAATACCGAAATGCAAAAGCAAACCGAGTTATAGTCAGCAATTAATTAGTCAAAGTAATTATTACAATGAAACACAAAGAAAGCAGAAACCAAAATCCATGATAGCAATACAAGATGAACAGGTGTATATATATTTTATGACACATATATCACCGCATATATACATACATAAATATACATACATATATAAATAGATATATTTTTAATAAAACCAATACGGAAACAAGCAAAACTACTGTCACTAAGCAGAAACAGAAGAAAAGGCAGCGCAACCCCAGAAGAACCCCACTAAGCCAACCAACCAGTTCACAAAACCCAACCCAATCGAATCCAAGAAATCACAATTTTGTTGGAAGTTTTCGCATAGTTTTCGAATCGAGTTCTCTTCCGAACGTATTCCTAGATATGAGCTTCAAATTTCGTCTACTTTACTCTGCTCTATTCAATCCAATCGAATCGAATCTTAACGATCAACGATCTCCCCTCACACACAAAGCAAAACAGTGATATTTACGGTATAGTCCCCAATGAATGAACTCGTACACGAACACTTTTTCCGGAACCCACCTACGAAACCTATTAATGTGAATGTTTTCTACACAAAAAGCTAAATCAATGAAAAACCTACCTCCTTGTTGAAAGAGTAAAAAATGAAACGATTACAAACGGATCCGACGATTGCGATCGGATCGATGATTAGAAGATGAAGCAACACTGCCGTATTGATCGCACTCCTCTGTCTTCCCCCTTGAGTAAAATACCCCTCTCTATCACACACTCTCTTTCCGGAATAGTATTTTATGTGTTGTCCTATCCGAGAGAATTTCTAACAGAATTGTGCGACGAACCTCGAACCACAAACCACTTTTGATAGCCAGACGAAAAGTTTACTTAAAGGAAATGAAATCAGCTCACCCCCAAACACAGTCTAGGAAACGGAACCCCATTGAGTGCTGGAATCAACTGAAGGAACTGCAGATCTTAGCGTTATATGTGTATACACTCACTTTGTATGTTTTATTTGCATTTACGAGTACATTTGATATTTGATATGAGAAGATTTTTACTTACGCCCCGAGCGATGCGTAATCCTACCGATAACTGCTCTGTCCCCCATAAGGTTGTTGTTTATGTATTGTTTATCGTCAAGATCGATTTCAAATTCAAACTGAAATGAAATGGATATCCTGCGTTGAAGCATAGGAATACAAGCACGATACGGTATCGATATCGATTGATAATCAGATAAAGTCGGATATGATGATGCAGATGGAGATAGTGTGTGCATTTTAAATTTAATTTTTTTATAATTAATTTAGTGCTAATCTTTGAGCAGCTAGGCGCGTAATTAGAACTATGTATATGTGTATGGATATCTTTTTGATAAAAAGATGCTATTTTAAAAAGCAAACCATTTTCTACACTCTTTAAAAGATTGAAATCTACATGTACGAGAATATGTATAATAAAAATAATAATAATATAGCATTAACTAGGCAATTATAAACCAAATGGAGACGATGATAATGTTGATGATGATGGCGGCAAGGAACTATAAACTAAGCGTCCTACATTAGGAGAGGGCCGAAAAACGCGAAAAACCAAAAGCAAAAAGGAAAAGAAAATTATGGAAAAACAAAAACGATAAACGAATTTAAAATTGAAAAGATTGTAGTCAAGGAAAATGTTTTTCATTTGAAAACTCTACTACTTACTTACTACTTACTTACTTTGCAAGTAATAACTAATTTCCTCTGATCAGAGTTACACACGCAATACGCAAATTAAGCAAACGGTTGGTACACCCCCACGCCCGCAAACACAAACAAAGCCCACATTAAATCATGGAAACATTCGAATTGTTCGTATTACAAAATAATAAAGAATGCAGCAAAACCGAAAAATTCCGATTTTCGTTTCAATTCCGCATGATCATGCCGAGAAGAGCAATTAAAAAAGTTCAACAACAATAAATAGCGCATTAACAAATTAATTCGATCGGGACATTTTTTAAACCAAGCAAATATATTTAAAATTAGCATTTAACTAAAAGACAACAAAAAAACTTAGGCTATAAACTGCAAATGTTAAGCACGAAAACTCACCCGACCTAAGACTTCCAAGCCCAGAACCCCAGACCACATCCGAACCGTGCCCGAGCCCGAGCCCAAGCCCCAATCCAAACCCAAAAGAACCCCTCAAAGTCTAACTACCAAATCAATTTAAATAGCTAATTGCATAATTATTAAACCGTTACCACAATTTCTGTCAAATGTCAAAAGCCAAAGTAACAAAAAAAAATAAAAACAAAAACAAAAAACATTAAACTTCCAACTAATTATGCATGTAATGAGATGGCGCAAACAGAAAAGAAACCCAAAAAATTAGCAAAAGTCTGTTGTCGATAAATATTATTGACAGACAAATAACTTTCGTCACATTGACGATAATAAATAATTGTAAGCGAAAACAAAATAATTAAATGATTTAAATAAAAAACAAGTAATATTAAAAATCGAGAGAAATGATTGCGACAAACACACAAAAACTGAATAAAAATTTATTTTGAAAAGAGAAATATTTCCATCAAACTTGTTTTATTGTTTCGTTTTAATTGCAAATAAGATTTCAAATTTCAGCGCCGACAAGTATTTCGAGTATATCTGTACCCGATGTCTGTCCGATGTCAGCTATCGGCAACACTACGTAGTCATCGATGTTTGTTCCAGCTCTGTGCGATATAATATCGCATACCATAAGAAAAGAAAAACAAAGTCAAAATACGAAAAGTGACAAAATTAGTATTAAAGAATAATAAAATAATAATGGACCTGCGTAAATTGTGCAGGATTTGCTTTGAGGGCAGCGCAGAAGTGGACATCAACAAGCACCGGCCCAGCGACTGGCCGGAGCACACAGTCCTCGAGATGATAGACGCCACATTCCAAGAGGTAAGACAACAACACAATAGAAAATGTGTGAGCAAATCGGGTTAATGGCTAACGGCTAATGGCCATTCTCCCTCAGAAAATGGACCTGACAGAACAGTTGGCAATGATATGCAAGACCTGCCTGGGTAATTTCATGCAAATCTATGCATTCTCCACAAAGCTGAAGATGGCCAATCAACAGCTGCTTCAACTCTACATCCAGGCCCAAGGTGGAGAGATGTATGTGGTACACGAGGAAGATACAATCGAGGAGGGATGTTCATTGCTGGAGCAAGAGCCGGAGACAGAGACAATAGAGCAGGCAGATGCACTCGACTTTGAGCCCATAGACGAGGGTGCAGACATGATAGACGAGTCTTCAGATATAATAGACGAGTGTACAGAGATAATACACGAGAGTACAGACCTAATAGACGAATGTCCAGAGATTATGGAAGAGTTCCAGTCTATAGATTCCGAGGATGGGGTCGCAAAACCATCCCAGAAGCTGGCGAATCTAGATTCGTTGATTGTCTCCGAATTCTTGCCAGTCACCACGAGTAAGACCCTGGGCGAAGGAACCTCCGAAAGTGCTCTGCAGCTGCAGCAGTGGACAGTGGACTATGCCGCCGTAGAACTGAAGCACAACGACCTGGACGATTACAACGAGACAAATCGCCGCCTCCACGTGGAACCAAGTGGCAGTCAAGCCATCTACAAGTGCAAGTACTGCCCGCAGGCCTTCGCCTCCTCTCAGTATCTGAAGACGCATGTCCGCAAGTCGCACGTCTGCAAGTACTGCACGTGCGCCTTTGCAAAGTTCAAGGATCTTAACGATCACATCCGCAACAAGCACCCGAACCATCCGTGCGTGGTCTGCACAAACACCTTCAGCACCAGCAGGTACCTCCGAGCCCACCTAAAGCGCGTTCATGGAGTCCACCTGCCCGCTCAAGTGGCGCTCTTGGACTATAGACCAGCGAGCAGGAAGCAGTACAATCCAGATTAAAGTTAGTTTATTTGCCAAAAGATTTGCGACTTTTCCCTTACAACATCTCCCTTCTCCTGGTCCGCTCCTGTAATGTACATGGGCGTGAACTCCCTGTAGGCTATACAAACGCGTCGCTCCACCACATCCTCGCGCAGCACAGAATGCTCAAACTGATAGCGCGCCGGCCCGTACAAAACCATCAGCGAGAGGCTAAAGGGAAGGATAATTTATCATTCAAAGAGAAATGTGAAATCGGTAGTCTTACCTGGGCATGGGTATGCGGAGCACCTTTCCCTTGTACGCCGAGATCTGCTCTTCTGGAAGCAGTGGCTCCAGCAGCTCATTCTCGTAGTCTGCCACCAAGTCCAGGTTGTACTTGCCCGCCTGCTGCTCCTCATAGACGGTGAGGGTGAGCACTGCATCGCCCAGACAGTTGACTGTCACCACACGCTCGCCCCAGATCCAGCAGTCGTCCACATGCGGATCTATGCTGGCCCCCTTGCTGGGTTCGTACTCCAGAGAGCACTGCTCGATGGTCTGGAAGTTGCGCAGCATCGGCACTTTATCGAAACGGCGCTGAACGTACTCTGTGCTCTTGGGGAAGCCGGCGAAAGTGCCCACCTGCAGCTTTCGCTTCTTAAAGTTCGTCTTGGGCCCAAAGTTCTGCTTTCGTCGTCCGCTCTGGGAGATGTCCCAGGGCAGCGCATCCAAGTGGGCCATCAACTGGGAGCCCTCATTCTTGCTGAGGAACTGTTCCTGCACTAGAACCCCTAGCAGTGGGAGGCCTTTGGCTTTGTCGTGCTGCTGGTGATCTGCCTGTACCGCAGTCGTGTCCCAGCCGGAGTACAGACGTTCACATTGAATGCAGTATGACCAGGGTTCCAGCTGTTGGAACTGTTCCTGCAGCGACGGTTTGGCTATTTGGAAGTCCTTCTCGCAGCTCAGACAGGTGCGTACGCCCTTGCAGCCGCATGGTCGAATTGTGTTCATTTTTATAACACAAAAAATTGTACATAAATCTGCTTCTTTTTGATCAGCTGTTTCTCCAGACACAGCACGATTAACCCATTGTCGACCAGTGGGTATATCGATTTACGCAGGAAAATTATGAAACTTGAAACATTTTTTACCCCATTTCAGGTGTAAAATATCATAGTTATATTTCTTTATAAGTCAAGACGAATGGTTGCAGCTACAAGGATAATTACAAACAGTATTATTTTTTGCTGTTTAGCTCCAGGAGCTCACCATTTTAAATAAAGAGGGGTTAAGTGGGTTAAGCTCTTTTTTTTCTCGGTATATTAACGGTATTAAAAATGAGAAGGTATATTTCGGTGAATGGCGCGTTCAGGTACAAAGCGAAGGGAAAACAAAAATGTCCAAGTTAATGTTCTTAAGTTATTTATTTATTGTTGCGTTCAGATGTATATTGTTTTCAACAAATACTTAGTTTAAACCTGTTTCATTCAAACAAATGCTGCTTGGTGATCAAATACTAATCGTTTTCCTCTCTGCCAGTTCCAGCTTCCTCTAAGACATTCTAACGGTGCTTTGGAACTGGCGCGGGAGTGTTTCCAATGTGGAAAATAGTAAAAAAAAAAAAAAAATGCGACGCAGTTCGGTCGATGCAATGAATCCTCTTTTCTTGTGTACAAATGGAGCATGGGTGATCAGTCTTATGGGCCAGACATCTGGTGTGGTGCAGATCCAGCTGCAGTCGCCGACGCCATCTTGCTTTAGATCTTGAGACAGCTGCGGTGGCCTCCATTCCGTGCGTAGACCTCCTCGAAGGCGTGGATAAGCTCGTCCATGCCCTTCAACAAGCCCTCCTCGCGATTCCCGGGCGTCCAGGCACTGCGATGGTTTACACACATTTGTGCTGGCAGCTGGCGGGACTTGGCAAAGTCAATCAGCCACGCGCCAACCCGCTCATTGTCGTACACAATGAATATGCTGGAGCCGACGATCTCGTGGCGGTTGAAGAAGGCGGACTGCTCGACGACCAGGCGCATGTGCTTTAGACGCTTCAACAGCTCCTTCAGGACGGACTTGCGGGCGGCCAGGAATTGCTCAATGGTCTGCGAAATCTGTTCGCTGCTGCGGCAGGTCTTCAAATCCTTGACGGGGGCATGACCGCGCAGGCGGAGGGCCTCGATGCGAAAGCCCTTGGAGTGGGAGGAGGAGAGTGACTCGCGGAACAGCATGTAGCGCAGTTTTGTGATGGCTCGCGCCTCGTGCTCGGCCGCCGTCGGTGCGCTCTCATCCACGGCAAGCATTTTCTGGTACAAGTCGGGCCGGAGCGTGGCATTGCTCACCTCCGACTCGAGGAAGGTGCGGCAGCCCATCTTGATGTCCATCACGCAGGGATCCTTGAAGCCGGCCAGCAGGTCCTGCAGCTCGATGTAGTGCTGCGACTGCATCTCCCGTAACCCGAAGTACTCGGGTACAATCTGTGCCGTCTGTGGCTCCTGGCAGATCTCGCGGTAGGCATGAACCTCGCTGTCATCGATGCCCACGATGCGCTTCCGCACAATCCCCGTCAACATGGGCACGATGCTCTCTGGATGGCCGGACAACTGCATCCAGCCCTGGGGCTTCGTTTGTTGCTGCTGGAGAAGATGTGGAGTGGCAGGGGCGCTCAGTTCCAGGGCATTCTGCAACAGAGGAGAAGAAAGAGAAAAAAATAGGTAAGTGAAAAGAATTCATTGATAAAGTTGCGATATCAGGGGCCGCTTTGTCCGCTGTCCGGCTGCGATTCGAACTGGTTCTGTCTGTTTCTCACTCTCTCTTCCATCATTATGGTATGCTCATGATTATAAATAATCAAACAAATTTTATTTGCTTGCCTCGGAGGGAGACATACCCCGGGCCCTCGTAAATGCGAAATTTATGCGACTCGACAAGCAATCGCACATTGTGCGAGGTTGCAAGCAGGAAGCAGAAACAGCAGAAGCGTTTAATCGTCGAATCGTTGAATCGCAGCCATGTGGAAAGTTTTGCCATGCTCCTTGAAGGGTGTTTATGGGAAATACAATGTACTTACAATGGCCAAGAACTTGAGCAGTGACATCTGTGGTGTTTGCTGAGCAGGAGCCTGAGGCTGTATCTTGGTCTGTGCCTGGACCTGAGCCGCTCTTTGTAGACTCAAATAGTCGGCCAAGTTTTCGCAGTTCTCGTAGGGAATCCGCTGCAAGGAAACAGAGGGATAAAGGAAGGAATTGTTAGAAGAGCTGTGTGGATATGATTCACTCAAATCTTAATTATTTATTCAATCAGAATGCAGGCGAAATATTTCGATCGTTTTGTTTGTGTATGGCTTTTGGTTTATGGGACGCCGTGTGTGGTTTACGACACTGCCGTGTCCCTAATGAGGCACTTAGTATGCAAAGATCGTTGTTGTTTCTGTTGCTGTTGTTGTTAGCCTATGCGAATAGAGCCATAAGCATTGGCCATAACAAATAACAATCTGTCAGCGTAGAAGGCGATCGGATAGACGTACAGACAGACCGGACCACAGGCCCCCGTGCGAGTAGAATAGTCGCCCCATCACCTCTCTACGCTTTGATTAATTAACAAATTAAGGTAATGCGCTCGGAACTTGTTTGTATCACAGCATCTTATATAGCTTCAGCTTCTGCTTTTGCTTCAGCGCTATCTATCCACTATTATCGTATCGCCTAAGTGTTCAGATAACGCTGCGAATTTCTGCGGCAGTCAGTCCTTCCTTCTCTTGGGTTAATAACACTCCGCTCCCCAACGATTGCCACTGCGATTGCGATCTTTACGTAAGTCTGGTAAGCAGCAGCACAAAACTCAGCAAATTTGCATATGTGGCACAAATTCGTCACGCGTGCGCGGGGATGGTGGGGGGACGAGTACAGTGAACACCCCTGCTCAGGGTCAACGTGTTGCTTATCAGGGTTCTAGCCAGGTTCTACGGTACTCGCATGATCTTGCGCTTATCATTTTATGACATGTGTGCCTGAGCCTTAGGCAAATGTTTGATTAGAGATTGAGATATTGCGCAGTCTAACATTAAATTGGGATTAGAGCCCCCCTGAGAACATGTGTACTATGTTTATTCTTTGACCCCCTGCTCTCACATTTCCATGTTCATTATATTATGAAATATCAAATGTATTAATTAGTCGCTAATAAGATGTCAGATTTTGTTAAGCGGCAAATGGAAGGGGGAATGGGGATGGGGATGGGCATATCGAGTTCTATTAACCAATATTCGAGGTAGACTCGGGAGTGTCGTCAGCACTGACCTTTGTGGAACGATCCGATCTTAACGGTCGGGCGTTTAATTATAGAAAACTATGTACTAAAACTATCTATCGATCGATCGACGTATGTAAGTCCGTCCGCTGTTCATTGAGTACTCGTTTTACAACTGCATTTTACAACTGATTCGAATCGGACTTAGAGTGAGGGTACCCCACCAGAATCGTACATTTTTGCACGTACTCCCCTTTGGGGTGACTCGGTTTAATTAGCATTTAAGCTTTAATTTGGTTTTAGTTAGGGAGTGCGTCATGCTATGGGATGGGGGGCATAGCTCTGGAACCATTATTATTTAACTTATATCTGCAATTGCATGTTTATCATTATCGCATTATTATAAAATAGAAGATTCGCCACTCGTGTGCGCTGAAGGAAAAGCGCTCAGGTCAGGGAAAAAACACAGCAACATCAGATACATATTGTGACAGTTCCAGCGATGCAAAAAGCGCAACCGCAAAATGAGCAAAACAATAATTAACTTCAACAGTGATGGCAGGCACTATGAGTATGGCAGTAAAATTACAGCACTTTTCGCTTGAGTGATTCGGTGCGGATCGAATCGGCGTCGGCGACTTTCCAGACCCTGGGCTATTTTTAGGCTGCCTGCCCCAGCAGCGATTCACCGATTCGCCGACTCAGCAGTCCGTCGATTCACAAATCCAATGTTTAGCTAAGCTCACAGTTTAGTAGTGTTTATTTATGACTACTTAACATTTGGAACGTGTTAACCGACAGAAACAGAAACAGCCGCAGCAAACAGCAACAAAGAAGTGATATAAAAACTTTGCTTAAATCAATTTATGCGCGTGACGTCAAAGCCCCGCTCTGGAGGAGAGTGTTGCGTTAATTAAACAAAATTATAAAAAATCAACCTGCCGAAATTTGACTCGAATTTGAGTTGAAAGTTTAGCTTAGGAGCCACCGATGGGGCTGCTGTTGAGGTCCAGCCTAAAGGCTTGAGGGACCCTGAACCTGGGATTCGTGCGTACAACTTGCCCCAAAAAACAGGTTCTCCTCGCGGAGATCGTGCCTCTAGACTCCAAAGCAGAGGTGACTCAGGTGCAGCCTTCTCCAGGTGCTGCTGATGCAGCTTTTTGTAGAACACAACCCTGACATTAAAACTACTATGGAAGGGGAAAAACACTCCTCCAAAAGAATCTGCAAGAGCCAAGAGACCTCACCGGAGAGTGGACTGAATGGGAATGGGACTTGGACTGAGACTGGGACTGGCACTGGGATGAGTAAACCGCACCATCGGTATATAGATAGTCGCATTCGTTTGCTTGGGGTATACATACGTACATATATGTATATTTGCATTGACGTCAATCTACTGAAACGAGGAGAGAATGAAGAGGGGGGCACGGCTCGAAGGGAGAGGGAGTGTGTGGAAACCAGTTACGTTAAGACATAACGCAAAAAGCCAGGCCATTGGCAGAGGATTAGATCCGTTAACCATGTCCAGAGGGAACGGAGGAGAGAGAAACTTTCCAACTATCAACAGCCTTAATTAACTCAAGAATTTTCACACTCTGTCGAGTCTCAAGACGCCCCTGCGGCATTAATCTGCGTCGCAGTTCTGTAAGGAGAGGTCCCAAAGCCGAAACCCAAACCGGATCCGCTATAGACAGCCGTGGAAATGCGTCAATATGCCTTTCCCTGTAATGCATTAATTGAACGGCCAGAGACCGTGAATCACAGACGATACCCGCGAAAGTTTGGACTCCCATGGGACCACCATGTGACTAATCTCAATCCCAATCCCAATTAAAATTGGCGAAAAAAACCATATGGAGATTCAGATGGAAGATACCGAAGATTGGGGGGAATAACCGGGTGATCAAAATATAAACTAGACTAGATCGAATGAATGACCCAAAGTTGGGGGACAACCTTCGGTGTTGGGCCTTGATCTTAGAGAGCGAACAAATTAAAATTAAAGCTGGCAAAATTAACCAATGATAGGTCTGTGAGGCCTGCGGCCTTAGGCTGAATCTGAGGCAAAGTGTGTGTGTGTGTGGGCCGATGCACTTGAGGACTGTTTGAGAGAGAGAAGTCGAGTGTCGAGTGCCTGTTATACACTGTGAGAAATGTGCGGAGTCAATAAACCCCAGATGACAGAACAAGGAAAACTGACTTTCAATTACAGACAGACAAACAGGCACTCGAAATTTGATGTCGAAAGACATGCACTGAGAGAAACGTAAAAGCCAGAGCCAAATGAATGAATGGACTTCCTGTCGCAATGCCAAAAGAGGGATATCCGAAGCCCGAACCTCAACGAATCAATTGTCTTTAATGAAATGAAATGAAATGAATCGATTCGTTTGTCCATGTAGCCCATGTGACCAAATGGATGCCTCATCCATAGCCATGTCTGATGTGTGATGTGATGTGCTGTGTCTTGTGCCTGCTCTCATAACCGGCAATGTCCGGCTCTGGCTCTGGCTTTGACTGTGACTGTGGCTCTGGTCTCGGATCTCTTGTTGCTTGTCTTTAATTAGCGCAGACTCGTTGCTGTATGCAAATTGACGTTACGTGGATTATCGGACCCATTTTCGACCCACAGACAGACCCACGAGTACTACGAGTACAAGTGTACGAGTGTACTGTTGCTGCAGATCAGCTCCAGATACGAGCACTGTTTACAGGCCGCATTCCTGGCCAAGGCCTGATAGTGCTGAAGTTGCTGAAGGGGTGACTGGGTGGGTAGGCCCCACAGTTGTTTCAACAACAAATAAAACTCCCCGCAGACGTCATTCCTGGACCCATAACCATACTTCGGGGCCCCTCAAGTCATGAGTATACATATATGTATCTCTCTGTTTTTTCGGCCACTTTCTCTGTAGTGTTGCTTTCTACGCGGATGTCGATGGACAAGACAATCCTCCACCATCGCCATTGACGTCATTGTCTGTTTGTCTGTCTGTCTGTCTGTCCGTCTGTTGGTTTGTCTTTTGTGGTGCGAGTATTACAAGCTTTCTTTCTGTCGGACACTCACCTCATGATTATTATTGTTGTTGCCAACAACAGATTTCGATTGTTTTTGCTGCTGCTGTTGCTGCTGCTCCACATCCAACATGATGTGTGCATTGTGCTGTTTCGAGCTGGCGCCCGTATCCAAGGCAATTAGTTTCCACAACTGCTTCAGCCCGATGTTATCGATGCATGAAAAGCGCAATTTCGACTCATTCGACCAGGCCATCGTGGAGCGGCTGGCAGAGGAGGGTTTCGGTGGCTTCGATACCTTTGTGACAGCTGCCGCCTGCTGCTGTTGCTGCTTGGGTGTCGTTGCTGCTGCTGGAGGCCGCTGGAGCACTGTTGAAGTCATAGTCATTCAGTCGGAGTTATCGCCTCACGCCTCACGAGAGTTTGCACAACGAATGATATTTTTTCACTG